TTTTTTCTTAGTAATTAACACCTTCATCTCAAGTATTTAAGATACTTTAAGATACGCCTAAACTGATAACTAAAGCGTACGTCTATAGCTTGTCAAAATATCGCAGAAAAAAAAACTACTTTCACTGTTCAATTGAAGATTTTCTTTGAAGAATTGAGCGCAGAAATTTTAAAATAAACAAAATTTGGCGCTCAAAAGTAAGTCAAGGAACGCTCAGTGGATTTTTTTTCAAAAGCTTAGTTCTGCAAATCCGAAAGACTTGTTACTTATAGAAAACAAAATGATATTTAAAAAATCTGAATGAAATTAATTAAATTCAATGCAAAAAATTATCATTGCAAGAACTACTCAAAAATCGAGAGAAAACCTATAAGAAGTGTTTCCCAACATGGGTCCCATGCCCCACACTAGATAATTTGACAGTTTTGAAAGGCAAACCGAAAATACAGAAATTTATGGATGTCAGTTTAATTTAATATCTAAAATTAATAAAATTAATATTTTATTATATTATATTATTTCATAACTTCAAGTAACAAATAAATATAAAGCCATAACTACTCTGGCCATGTTAGCCGTGATTTTGCTAATATATGTTAGTTCCCAGTAGCCTAGGAGTGTAGTAGGCTATGAGCATTGATGTATTCTGCGTAGGCGATTAGGGGCAAAATCCCATTAACAATATAATTTACAGATAATCTACAAAAAAAACATTGCAATAAAATATTTTCTGGCACAACGGGTCAGGTATCCGCAGCTTTGGCAGTCCTGACCAATTGTGGAAACTCACGCGAAAAAATGATGGTTTTTTACTTTCATTTGGCGTGCAGTTGCGTATTCATATCGGGTGCTGTGATCCTTACCAAGGGGTAAGTTCTGCTAAACACATATTCTAATTGGTACTGGCGAAAGTTCCTTGAAATTTTTAATGCAGAGTTTATCGGCGTATTATCTTGATATGTTTATTTTTAAGAACACCGTAGTATTAAGTGTTTACAGGCAGGTACCCACGCTAAACAATGCTGGATTCATATCTCCTCCTCGACATAAAACTGCTCACAGCTAGAGGTAAATGTTTATTGAGGAGACATGCAGAATATTAAAAAACACTGATGGAGAATTTATAAATATGTAATTAAGCCGAATATTAATATTAAATTTTTTATTTATATACATCTATATATAGTTACTGAAGTCAGCAGTCCAATGGATTTTTAGTTTTTAGTTGCTAGAGTAGTTTAACGCATAAATAGCTTACTATACTTATTCAATTAGGAATAAATGTCCATACATTATACGTAGTCACTTATACCGATCATACTTCCACAGCAATATATTTTTTACCGTAATACTATTATGTACACACAATAGATGACAAAGTTAAATATGAGTAATTTGGAATCAGACTTCGGCTTTTTTTATACATAATAAAAAAATTGTTTGAAGGTCGTGTGTTTAATTAATTTATTAACAAAAAAAGTAATAATAAAAATTATGAATTAATGAAAAATGATAAATGAAAACATCGAAATTTATCGAAAAAGATCGAAGGAGAGGGTAAATTCGAAATTTGGAGTAAATACATGTAAGTAGAGTTTCATGTTGGATTTGTTGTCCAAAATCATGAATAAAATCTATCACTTTTATTTATTGAAATGTTATAAAATTTTTAAAGTATATTAATATAGGATATGTATGATCAACGCACATACCCATTCTCCAAATACCGATAATTGATTGCACTACAAATAGGAAATTGGAATGAACGGGCTACTAGTTCCCAACGGAGCGAAGCACTGCGACCAGATTGATCTTTTGTACTGCAAACAGACCCTAACCTAACAGAACGCATTCCGCCTTCCGAATGAAGGGTAGAACGTCAGCCATTACTGTGAGTCTCCATCAAGGAATCTCCTCCTGGCACAGATTAAACCTGGGCAGTCACAAAGAATGTGACTGGAAGTCTCGTCTGTTTCTAAGATAGACCCATTTTATTAAAGTGATAACGCAGTCAATAGTGAGAACCGTTGAATAACCCACCAGCAATCTCAACTTTGTTCTGGTGAAGAAGGATAACTTACCGTAACTATAGGGATGAAACAGCTCTTTAGCTTGACGGTTACGTCGACTATCGCGGCAGTAGCGACTTTTGTTGGCTAATAACCATTTTTCAATTAGAGACCTAGTTGTAGACCAACTTAATCCACAATAAGGTTCCGGTCCACTGATTTGAGTGTTAGATCCTGCCTCGCGTGACTAGGTACCCAGCAAAGCGTCACTTTGTTTTTGCTTGCCAGCTGCTGCAGCATATTATAGCAGTCTAATAGAAGCTTTGAGGAAAACTTCCAGGAGGATAGTACCTGACTATCTGAGTAAATACAGATTCAGGCGCGTTTTAACCCATTGCTAATGTTGATACGGGCGCAGACCTCGATGGCACTACAAATACTTTACTTAAGTCTCCATTGAATATATTTCATTTATTTATATGTATTAATGTATACGAAAGATACATTAACAAATCTATCCAAAATTTAAAAGTTCTAGTTTACGCGAAAAAACCTTAACGCATATAATACTGATTTTTTGTTTTACTTTCAAGTCAAGACAGGGCTGGAAACGTTTTAGAGAATATTCGGGTGAATATTCCAAATTCGGATGTAGCTAAATCAGCTGACTTCGATTGATGACAGATAAAAACAATTCCTGATCGGTTAAAAATGTACATATCACGATGACTTTGTAT